CTGACCTCGTTCATGTTTTCAGGTCAACTTCACAAACTCAAAATCTTCACACATTTCAGACCCTGACAAATAAAACTGCAGGTGTTTTTCCCAGGACTTCATGTGACGCTTGAACACAAATTGAACATAATAAAGTTATTAAATATTTCACAAAGAGAAAACTTAAAAGTGTGGCAGGTGTTAATTAAAAACTGGTATTAATTTTAAAATCTTTCTTGTTTTTCCTGAAAAATAAATAAATCAGTTAAATTTGAATCAGAGGAAATAAAGTTCAAGTTGATAAATTTGGATTTAAACTGTATTTATGAACATTTGGCGACTCTGACGTCCAGAAATAAAAACCTTTAGTTCATCCATTTCCCTCAGTTCATCAGAACCAGCTAATCAGAACCGGGTCAGAACTCTGAAGCTCGTCCTGCAGTCCTGACGCCTGCATATGAAATGGACCTGCAGCAGGACTGCAGACCGGACCCGGAGCCGGAGCCCGGAGCCCGGAGCCGGACCCGGACCCGGACCCGGACCGGAGCCGGAGCCCGGAGCCCGGACCCGGACCCGGAGCCTGGAGCCGGAGCCGCCCGGCCCGGACCCGGACCCGGAGCCGGAGCCGGAGCCGGTTCTGCTCCAGCTTGTGGTGAGCAGCTCGGGGTTTATCCTCTGCTGCGGTTCTGGCCCGGCTGGATGTGATTACTGCTCATGTCAGATTTATCGGATCGGGACAACATGCTCATCATTAATCTACAGCTCAAATCTGGTTCTTGGCAGCCAGACCCAGAAACGCACTCGGGCCGGGATGAACGGACAGGCGGCCGGCGCCGGCCGGCACCATGGTTACAGACAGGACTGCCACCCGGGAGCCTGAGGGTTAAAGCTTCAGCTCGACAAACCGGATCACCGTCACGTCCAACGGTTCCGGTCCAAACGGGTCGGACCGGAACATCTGAGCTAAATGTTCTGACTGTTGCAGATTTTCATGAAGTTCCTTCAGGAAGGAACTGAAGACGAAGCGAACAGGAAGGTTCCTCCATGATGATGTTCTGCATCTATTAGTGGAAATGGAAGGTTTTTCTTGATGCACCTGCATAAAACACTGGCTGGTGATGCTGCGCTGGCCGGTGATGCTGCACTGGCTGATGATGCTGCACTGGCTGGTGATGCTGCACTGGCCGGTGATGCTGCACTGGCCGGTGATGCTGCACTGGCTGGTGATGCTGCACTGGCTGGTGATGCTGCACTGGCCGGTGATGCTGCACTGGCTGATGATGCTGCACTGGCTGGTGATGCTGCACTGGCTGGTGAAGCTGCACTGGCTGATGATGCTGCACTGGCCGGTGATGCTGCACTGGCTGGTGATGCTGCACTGGCCGGTGATGCTGCGCTGGCCGGTGATGCTGCACTGGCCGGTGATGCTGCACTGGCTGGTGATGCTGCACTGGCTGGTGATGCTGCACTGGCCGGTGATGCTGCACTGGCTGGTGATGCTGCACTGGCTGGTGATGCTGCACTGGCCGGTGATGCTGCACTGGCTGGTGATGCTGCACTGGCTGGTGATGCTGCACTGGCCGGTGATGCTGCCTTGCAGCAAGAAGGTTCTGGGTCTGAATCCCAGCCTAATCATGGGGTTCTCCCTGTGCTTCGCTGTCTTTTCCTGGGGACTCCAGCTTCCTCCCACAGCAACACGTCTCTGTGCTCCAGAGGATTAACAGCCTCCAAGTGTCTCTAGTTTCTATGTTATATTATTCATAAAGTTGTAATTCCCGACAGAAGGTTTCACTTCATTCCAGTGAAACCTGCAACATTACCTCCTGACCGTTTTCACAGCAGGACCAGAACCCGGCTCGGTATCGTCTTGCTGCTCATTGTGACATGAAGCAGATCTTGACTCGGTCCGGCGACTTGCTTCCAGTCCGAAAGGAAAGATTTATGGACGAACTTGATTCAAGCTGACAGAAACGGGTTTCCAGCTGCAGCTTTGCTTCTGCTGGTTCTGGAGGACAATGGGGCCGTATCACTTTTAACAATCTGGTCCAATGTGACCCGGAGAACTGTGATTCGATCCGGATCAGTGGTTCTGGACAGGACTGGGTCTCAGATGGAGCAGCAGACTGAACATACGATCAGCTGTTTTCTGCTCCAGAGGTTAACAATGCAGCATGTGAAGCGCAGCGGTACCAGAGCGGCACCAGAGCGGTACCAGAGCGGTACCAGAGTGCGACGGGTCCAACCTCCCAACAGAGGACCCGGTTTCTGTGAAACAATCGGATCCTCTGTCATTCTGCTCTGCTGCAGCTTCTGCAGAACAATGTTTCTGGGCCCTTCCAGAACCTGAAGGCCCGGGTTCTGGAAGGCTCGGGTTCTGGAGGTCCACTTCAGAGAAGCTGGTTCTGGAACAATGAGCTGAGGGAGCAGCAGCTGCGTGCCGAGGATTTCCAGGCTGATTGTGATCCGTCAGCGCAGGATAAGGAGGATTAACACTTCTTATGTCATCCTCTGTTCATTCCTCCATGTGTGCTGGAGGTCAGAGGTCAGCAACCAGTCTGGGTGGAGGCGTTATGTAACTGGAGGAGGTACGGAACAACATGTTGTTTCTGTTTTACATCATAATAAATGTAGAGAAACCCAACGGGTCGCCTGTCGGTCCTGCTGGTTCCTCTTCTTTGGATCATGTTATGATCAGAGATCATTAATGGCTGATTATTAATTCACATTAATTCATATTAACGTGTTTTTCAAGCTGCAGATACGCGCCTAAACCAGCAGAGGGAGCCAAACAGAAAACGAGTCGTTTAAAAAACTTTTTTCTGCAGAACATTTCAGTCACTGATCAGAACCAGATTCTGATCAATGTTCTCACCAATTCAATATATTTGTCTATTTTCTTGGACTTTCTTTTTTATTTGCTCGTTCAAATGAGGTTTTTGACTCATGTATGGAAAGGTTAACAATAACCTAATATACAAATTCTTTTAAGAATAAAAAATATGTATATCAATAAATCAATAATTTGGCCCAAATTTTCCTGATAAAATCTCCTGAACTGCGTTGAGCTGCTGGACTGTCAGTCCTGACGTCACTGAACCGCCACACAAACGCTGCACATGATGAAACTATGGATTTATTATAATAAACTCAGATCAGACCACAGACTGACAGATCAATGAACATTCATCTATCAATGAACACATGAATTCATCCCATAAAGAGAAACAAAAGAGAAAATTAATTTCTGTTGCAGAAATGATCTGATGTGTTCAGGGTTCAGTATAACATAGTGGTTTTGCTTTTAGCTGCATAAAAACCATGAACTTTGACCTCCTGACACATGAAATCATCAAGAAAAATAGTCTTATAAAGACTTAAACTGATGGCGCCCTCTGCTGGACGTCATAGCGAAATACAGCAAATAATTCCCTCCAATCTGCTGTCCTTGTCAAGTTCAAAGTTTTTGTCTGTCCATTGTGCCACAGGGCTAAACATGCTAACAGGGCTAAACATGCTAACAGGGCTAAACATGCTAACAGGGCTAAACATGCTAACAGGGCCACCACTTCACATCCAAAGGTCAACCAAGGTTATTGGCGTCTCACCGCTCGCAGTTTTCTGGCCGATCGGTGATTACCAATCTTTTCAAAAGCTTAACCTGCCCGTTCCAATTTTGGTCAATACCTTTTTTTTTTTTTGCATGAAATGTTGCTCAATAAAACAAGAAAGTTGTTGAGTCGGCAATAGTCAGACATAACTTGGTGGGCCGATCTGTCAGAGCAAAAGAGGACAGTTGATTCTGACACATTTGCCAAGCGAGAGAAGATCGCTGGTTTCATCTGTAAAAATCGGCCGATCTCCCAAAATGAAGGAAATTCGCCCCGATAAATTGGTGCATCTTAACGAAGATACACTGTAAAAAAAAAAACTGTCATTTTTACAGTAAAATACTGGCAGCTGTGGTTGCCAGAATTTAACCGTAAAAATTACAGTCAGCTAATTTTTACAATTGCTGATTCTACAGTAATAAATGGTGTTTTACTTAACCTTTTACTGTAAAATGACAGTTTTTACCATTGAAATTGATCAAGTTTTATCCTAAAATTTACATTAAAACAATATTACAAATAGACTGAATTCCTCTATAATTTCAAAAAAAGTATACTTTTTAAAATACAGAGAAAACCCTGTAATTATAGAGGAATTCAGTCTATTTGTAATATTGTTTTAATGTAAATTTTAGGATAAAACTTGATCAATTTCAATGGTAAAAACTGTCATTTTTACAGTAAAAGGTTAAGTAAAACACCATTTATTACTGTAGAATCAGCAATTGTAAAAATTAGCTGACTGTAATTTTTACGGTTAAATTCTGGCAACCACAGCTGCCAGTATTTTACTGTAAAAATGACAGTTTTTTTTACAGTGTACTATAAACACGAAAGCCTGGAAAGATGAAAACAGTTTTTATTAGTGTAAAAATATTTGGCGTCTTAAAAGGTGTCAGCAGGTCTTTGCTGCACATCATCAGTGAGTTTCAGCAGGTCTGATCCAGAGGAGCCTGGCAGAAACGCTCCAAACCGTTTACATGCTCACACACTTCATTACAAACTAGTTTTTCCAAGTGCTTCACACAATAGTCTGTCATTTAAGTCACTTCTGTGATTTGGACACTGAAGGAATGAGGAGGAGGAGGAAGAACATCCTTACAAATCGGTGGCATGCTGTATGGTTGGAGGCGCAAAACACCATCAGGCAAAAATGCCATCAGGCTGGGACTCGAACCTGCGACGGCCATATTGAGGACTAAGGCCTCCTTATGTAGGCTGTGCTCTATTGATCTGATCAGACGCTGAAAATGAGCAGAACACAGAAGAAGAAGCAGCAAATAATCCATCTGTGAACTGAACTGTTGACTTCCTGCTGAGGATGTTTCCAAACTCACTTCTCCGCCAGCAGGACTTCAACACAGTCATGCAGATTTATTCATCCTGTCATCAGATCAACGACCAGCATGATGATCAGACAGATGAGTTTTTACCTCCATCACTAAGACCAGGACTGAAGAACGGGTAGAGTTTCTCCTTGAAGCAGCAGCCAGTAAAGGAGTAAATCACATCTACAGCATCTACATCATAGAAGGAGACCAGACCCTCCTCATAATCCACAAACACCCCCACCTTCTCTGGACCAGGATGGAGATGCAGACGGACTGAAGGTCCAGCACCAACTTTGTACTCATATCCATTTCTCAACCAGAAAGTCCAGAAACCTTTCTGAGGACTGAGGTTGATGGTTCCCTTCCTGTCAACAGATTCTCTAACCACTCCTAAAGCCCAGTTAGTCTTTCCTTTAACCTGAACCTCAAAGTAAAATCTGCCTGAGGAGAAACTCTGCTGTCCTAAAACAGAAACACAGTGAGAAAACCTCTGTGGATTGTCTGGAAGATTCTTCTTCACATCTCCATGTTTGGCCTGTTTTCCATCACCAGACAGGATGAGGTTAGGATGAGCCGCATCAGGATCCAGAGTCACATCCACTGCAAACTGCTGGACCCTCTTCAGCTCTTCTGCTAGCAACTTGCTAATCTTCTGCCTGAAGTCTTCCTCAACCAGAGCCACAGCTCTCACCACAGTGCCCTCATATCTCAGGGGACGAACTCTGACCTCTGACCAGGTCTTAGGGTTAGGGATTTATTTTTGTCTGTCAGAAAAACCTCTGCTATTGTGGGAAGAACAATAACTTTTTAAAGCGGTTTTGGTAACTCCCGCTGCAATCGCAGAGAGTTTGTAGGTTTTGGCCCTGGGCCTCGAGGAGCCGCTGGTCCAGAGCTGCAAAGTTTCACATCATCCTGGTCTGAACCAACGGATGCGGAGCGTCATGGCGGCTCGTCATGGCGGAGCGTCATGGCGGAGCGTCATGGCGGAGCGTCATGGCGGAGCGTCATGGCGGCTCATCATGGCGGAGCGTCATGGCGGAGCGTCATGGCTGGTCGTTTCTCAGTGTGAGGAGTGAAGCTGCAGGTCTGATGTAGCGTCTGCCACACATCAGGTTCCAGTCGGATCTTTTTACTGAACTTCTACGTTCAGCTTTTCATGACGGCGGTTTAAAGGCTCATCAACACTTTTCTCCTGAGTCTTAATAACTTGAACGATTTCACCTCCGTCAGACGTTTAGAGGAAATGACGTCCATTATGGCCTCCGATCCAAACATTTATTAAAGCATAAAGCTGCTTGCAGTCTTGCTGCTGGAGCCAAACATGAGCTCATCAAACTCGCCTCATTTTTAATAAAAATTTTTATTTTCACTAAAAATAAAACATTTAACTTTCTGCCCTGGACTGACTGCTGCTGAAGACCCAGCATGAAATGATTTTTATTTCATTCTTCAAACCTAAAAAACAACCATAAATACACATTTAGAACAGCCATAAAATTATCATTTCTAACACATATAACTTAATAATTAAATTAACATTATCGTCACCCAAGTAGTGGAAATACTAAAGGAAACTCAAACCTTTCCCTCCATGATGCAATTAATCTGGGCCTTCTGGCTGATACAGTGATTGATCTGGGTCCAGTGATTGATAAGCAACTGAATTTCAATTGACAACATGTAATTCCTGCAAAGCCTGTCTGGAGACAAACTGGACCTCAAATAGGTTTTAAATCAGTTTTATCTCTTTCCCCACAAGCAACAGTCACTATAAGATACTCAGAATTAAGACTTGACAAAAATGATGCAGCTGCATTTTGTTCATTGCATTTCAGAGGACAAGACGGATAATTTATTATTGATCAGGTGATCAGTCAGGTAGCAATTACTGGAGGGAACCACTGGTTCTGGTTCTGATGAGCTGGTTCTGGTTCTGACTGAGCTGGTTCTGGTTCTGACTGAGCTGGTTCTGGTTCTGACTGAGCTGGTTCTGGTTCTGATGAGCTGTGTCTGTTTGGTCTTGTTATTTTGTGTGAGATGCATTGGGTGTCTGCAGTCTGTAAATTGGTGCTGAACAGATTGCAGGAAACAGGCTGCAACTCTGAGTTTGGGCACCAGATGGCAGCACCGCACTGAGGAGGAGCTGCGTGTGCTGCAGGCCTCATGTTCTCCCTGTACCTTTAAATAATCTGTTTTCGTCTCTGCAGGATTAGATGATTAATAAGTGAAGCATGCTGCTGCTCTGGGATCGGTTAACAGAAGCTAAACGTCTATTTGCAGCTTTTCGCGTCGAAGGAAAATCCACTGAACTAAAGTTCAAGGCGGGAAACAGCAGATAATTACACCGACTGTTTACTGCAACAATTGTTAAAAACACACTTTACCTGTTTATCCTGCTCAGCTGTGCAGGAGCTCACACTGCCCCCTCGAGGGCAGGTGCAGCACTGCAGCCTCTGAACCTTCAGCTTCAGTCTCATTTCATCGTTTCCTCAAAAAAGATTGAGCCTCAGTGACAGGAAGTCAGCAAAGACCCGGATGTACAGACTGCTTTCTGATTGGCTGACCACTGACAACAACACCTGGGGGTTTAAATTGTAGACCTGGGCTCCTGATTGGTGAGTTCATACCCAGAGAGCCAATCAGCAGGCAGCACAGGTGAGCCCTGTGTTTCCTACCTGCATCAGGTTTGGCTTGATGTTTGCAGCCTGGAGCTTCATGTCAAGTCTGAACTCATCAGAGGGAAGGAGGCAACAGCTGGATGCACATCTGGATCCATACCTGAGGAGGAGGAGGAGGAGGAAGAGGATGAAGGAGGAGGAGGAAGGAAGGAAGATGAGGAGGAGGAGGAGGATGAAGGAGGAAGAAGAGGAGGAAGGAAGATGAGGAGGAAAAAGGAAGAGGAAAGAGGAAGGAGGAGGAGGAGGAGGAGGAGGAAGAGGAGGAGGAGGAGGAGGAGGGGAAGGAGGAAGGAGGAAGGAAGATGAGGAGGAAAAAGGAAGAGGAAAGAGGAAGAAGGAGGAGGAGGAGGGAGGAGGAAGGAAGATGAGGAGGAAAAAGGAAGAGGAAAGAGGAAGAGGAGGAGGAGGAGGAGGAGGAGGAGGAGGAGGAGGAGGAGGAGGAGGAGGAGGAGGAGGAGGAGGAGGAGGAGGAGGAGGAGGAGGAGGAGGAAGGAGGAAGGAAGATGAGGAGGAAAAAGGAAGAGGAAAGAGGAAGAAGGAGGAGGAGGAGTCTGATCTGCTCCAACCTCTGAAACCTGAACAAATCACTAACATTTCAGTGACTGAAAGTATTTAACTCTGAATGGAGGGACTGGTGTCCAGATGGGGGCGCTGCAACGAACAGAACAGAAATTTATGTTTGAATTACTGGAGAAAAATCTCCATTAAATTATTGCGTAAATATAAAATGTATAAATACTAAATACAGGGATGAACTCGACTGTCTTGCAGCCTGGAGGTTCTGGGTTCAAATCCCAGTCTGGGTTCTCTCTGGGCGGACAGACGAAACAGCTGGATGCATTCCTGTCTGAGTGCTTCAGGCTGAAGCCAACATGACCCGACCCGACACGCAGCAGAACCACCTACCATCAGATCCTCCTACCATCAGAGCCTCCTACCATCAAATCCTCCTACCATCAAATCCTCCTACCATCAGATCCTCCTACCATCAGATCCTTCTACCATCAGAACCTCCTACCATCAGAACCTCCTACCATCAGAACGTCCTACCATCAGATCCTCCTACCATCAGATTCTTCTACCATCAGATCCTCCTACCATCAGATCCTCCTACCATCAGAGCCTCCTACCATCAGATCCTTCTACCATCAGATCCTCCTACCATCAGAACCTCCTACCATCAGAACGTCCTACCATCAGATCCTCCTACCATCAGATCCTCCTACCATCAGAGCCTCCTACCATCAGATCCTTCTACCATCAGAACCTCCTACCATCAGAACGTCCTACCATCAGATCCTCCTACCATCAGATCACCTTCTACCATCAGATCCTCCTACCATCAGAACCTCCTACCATCAGATCCTTCTACCATGAGATCCTCCTACCATCAGATCCTCCTACCATCAGATCGTCCTACCATCAGAGCCTCCTACCATCAAATCCTCCTACCATCAGATCCTCCTACCATTAGATCCTCCTACCATCAGATCCTCCTACCATCAGATCCTCCTACCATCAGATCCTCCTACCATCAGAACCTCCTACCATCAGAACCTCCTACCATCAGAACCTCCTACCATCAGATCCTTCTACCATCAGATCCTTCTACCATCAGAACCTCCTACCATCAGATCCTCCTACCATCAGATCCTCCTACCATCAGAACCTCCTACCATCAGAGCCTCCTACCATCAGAGCCTCCTACCATCAGATCCTTCTACCAACAGATCCTTCTACCATCAGAACCTCCTACAATCAAATCCTCCTACCATCAGATCCTCCTACCATCAAATCCTCCTACCATCAGATCCTCCTACCATCAGATCCTTCTACCATCAGAACCTCCTACCATCAAATCCTCCTACCATCAGATCCTCCTACCATCAGATCCTTCTACCATGAGATCCTTCTACCATCAGATCCTCCTACCATCAAATCCTCCTACCATCAGATCCTCCTACCATCAAATCCTCCTACCATCAGATCCTCCTACCACCTCCTACCATCAGAACCTCCTACCATCAGATCCTTCTACCATCAGATCCTTCTACCATCAGAACCTCCTACCATCAGAACCTCCTACCATCAGATCCTCCTACCATCAGATCCTCCTACCATCAGAACCTCCTACCATCAGAGCCTCCTACCATCAGATCCTTCTACCAACAGATCCTTCTACCATCAGATCCTTCTACCATCAGATCCTTCTACCAACAGATCCTTCTACCATCAGATCCTCCTACCATCAGATCCTCCTACCATCAGATCCTCCTACCATCAGAACCTCCTACCATCAGAACCTCCTACCATCAGATCCTTCTTCCAACAGATCCTTCTACCATCAGATCCTTCTACCATCAGATCCTCCTACCATCAGAACCTCCTACCATCAGAACGTCCTACCATCAGATCCTCCTACCATCAGATCCTTCTACCATCAAAACCTCCTACCATCAGATCCTTCTACCATCAGATCCTCCTACCATCAGATCCTTCTACCATCAGATCCTCCTACCATCAGATCCTTCTACCATCAAATCCTCCTACCATCAGATCCTCCTACCATCAAATCCTCCTACCATCAGATCCTCCTACCACCTCCTACCATCAGAACCTCCTACCATCAGATCCTTCTACCATCAGATCCTTCTACCATCAGAACCTCCTACCATCAGAACCTCCTACCATCAGATCCTCCTACCATCAGATCCTCCTACCATCAGAACCTCCTACCATCAGAACCTCCTACCATCAGAGCCTCCTACCATCAGATCCTTCTACCAACAGATCCTTCTACCATCAGATCCTTCTACCATCAGATCCTTCTACCAACAGATCCTTCTACCATCAGATCCTCCTACCATCAGATCCTCCTACCATCAGATCCTCCTACCATCAGAACCTCCTACCATCAGAACCTCCTACCATCAGATCCTTCTTCCAACAGATCCTTCTACCATCAGATCCTTCTACCATCAGATCCTCCTACCATCAGAACCTCCTACCATCAGAACCTCCTACCATCAGATCTTCCTATCATCAGATCCTTCTACCATCAAAACCTCCTACCATCAGATCCTTCTACCATCAGATCCTCCTACCATCAGATCCTTCTACCATCAGATCCTCCTACCATCAGATCCTTCTACCATCAGATCCTCCTACCATCAGATCCTTCTACCATCAGAACCTCCTACCATCAGATCCTCCTACCATCAGAACCTCCTACCATCAGATCCTCCTACCATCAGATCCTTCTACCATCAGATCCTCCTACCATCAGATCCTTCTACCATCAGAACCTCCTACCATCAGATCCTCCTACCATCAGATCCTCCTACCATCAGAACCTCCTACCATCAGATCCTCCTACCATCAGATCCTTCTACCATCAGATCCTCCTACCATCAGATCCTTCTACCATCAGATCCTCCTACCATCAGATCCTTCTACCATCAGAACCTCCTACCATCAGAACCTCCTACCATCAGATCCTCCTACCATCAGATCCTTCTACCATCAGAACCTCCTACCATCAGAACGTCCTACCATCAGATCCTCCTACCATCAGATCCTTCTACCATCAGATCCTCCTACAATCAGATCCTCCTACCATCAGATCCTCCTACAATCAGAACCTCCTACCATCAGATCCTTCTACCATCAGATCCTTCTACCATCAGATCCTCCTACAATCAGATCCTCCTACCATCAGATCCTCCTACAATCAGAACCTCCTACCATCAGATCCTTCTACCATCAGATCCTCCTACCAGGTTCAGACTCCGACATGTTTCTGCTGAAGCAACTTCAGAAATCAGTTAGTTTGTTGGGTGGTTGGTTCCAGTCGTAAAAATTGTTCAACCCACATGAAGAAACACAGCAGATATTAGATCAGTGACTGGTTCCGGTTCAGTGGTCTATGTTGGACCCAGGATCATCTGGACTCAACATCCCAGAGTTCCCTGGATCTGCTGGTTCTGAGTGAGGATGTCTAGCCAGCCTGTGCTGTTAGAATGGTTTTAAACCAAATGTTGGATCTTACAGTCGTGTCTCCATGTGTGATGCTGCTGACCTGCAGTGACAGGCGGCTGCATCCGCGGCGCGCTAAGTAGCGTCAACACAGATCCTTCCAGCGGCTGCTCCTAATAAAACCAGGAAGTATTCACACCCCTACTGCTCATTTTGAATTACATCTGTGCTGTTTTTATTTTTCATACAGTGTAATAAATACACATAATGAACATTTAAAAGAATTAATCCCACTCAAATATATATATACTCACTTGGATGGTATATTTTTATTTCTTATAACTTGATTTTGTGTTATCTTTGCAATATTTTATTCTTAATCTTTTCAAGTATATACATACTACTTTTGGATTTTGCTGCGTGAATCTACATACCTCAGTTATGCTGTTACACCTGAATTTCCACAGTGGGACAATAAATATATTCAGTAAATTAAAATACACATCCTGATGAGACTCATTTGTCAGATTTACCTTTTTAAAACCGACGACTTTAAGATAAATTCATTTCTGTGTTTTTCATTATGATGTAATCATAATAAAAGACACTGAGACATCAAACATGTTGGCTATTAAAGTCCATTTATTTCAGGAATTTTATCACAAACTGAAATATTGTGATAGAATTTCTGAATCAAATTGACTTTTCAAAAATATTTGAATTTAAATGAAGTAAAGCTCTAAAATTAATTTGAGACATTTTGGAGGCAAAAACAGGTTTAATTTTCAACAGTTTTGATTTTCATAAAAAAGCTCATCCAGATTAGACGTTTTTCTCAGATAAATCTAGAAATCTGCGTTTTGTAGGTCATGCATGTCGTAAATCAACATTTCCGGAGCGACTTCCTGATTCACCTTGAGCGGGTTTTCCCGCCGCCAGGAAGAGGAAATGAAACCAGGCAGAGATGTGAAGTACAACTCACAAAATAAAAGTCCGGTTTATTGTCAAAACAACAAACTTCGCACATACATCAAAACAGGCCGTCATAAAACAAAATGTCGCTGACAAAGAAAAAAAAGAACAAAGGAAACAGAGGCTCTTCTCTTTGGCCTTACCCTCCCATACAAACAAACTAGTTATGGTACAGCTAAAGTACATACATTAAATTTACTGGAATGCTCTGAGTTCAGCGGCGTTAACAGGTTGCCTTTCAGCTTTTATTCTTTTTTTAGCTTTTTTTTACAGGTTTTCTAGGTTCTGAGATATTGTAACATGGTCAACCAAGTAAAATCTTTTTGTTTCAGAAGAAGCACCGATTTGGTCTGACGAGATCGCTGCCGAGAGAGAAGCTGCCCCCCCTCCTAACAATATGTACAAAAATATAAAATGTAAATAAAAATACAAACAAATTCTTCGCTGGGTTGTTGTTGCTGAAGAGAAGCCAGATTTCTGCGGCGGGTCCTCTAGAAAATTTGTCTTGCAGCCTGGAGGTCAGAGGTCAGGGAGATGGGGGGGGGTGGACGTGGTGATGCTTGTTGAACTCTACTTGCTAATGACCATGTTGGGTTTTTTTATTATTTTTTCCTTTAGATCAGTCCTCCCGCCCCTCCACCTGTGACGTGTCAGAGAGGTCAGAGGTGAAGAACCAGGAAGTGGTTCAGCAGGTCGGCGCCGCGCGGAAACGCATCAATCGTCGGTTTTCTGCTTCTTGGTTTCGACATCGTCCTGAAAGAAGAGAGGAGACGGTGTTAGGACGGGGTCAGGATGGGGTCAGGATGGGTCAGGATGGGGTCAGGATGGGGTCAGGATGGGGTCAGGATGGGGTCAGGACGGGGTCAGGGCTGCCGGCAGCTCACCTCGTCGTCTTCGTCGTCGTCCTCAGCTGCCCGTTTTGTGCCGCCCTCGATCTCATCTTCATCATCTTCCTCGTCCTCCTCATCTCCTGCAGGAAGCAGAAAGAGGTCAAAGGTCTGGAGGTTTTAGAAACACCCACCCCTTCCGTTCCCACGGTAACAGATGGCGTCCCACCTTCTCCGTCGTCCTCCTCTTCTTCCTCTTCCTCCTCATCCACCTCCTCCTCGTCTACCTCGGGCTCGCCGTTCTCCTCGTTCTCCTGCAGGAAGAGCAGCCGTCAGCTAAAGTTTTCATCCCTTTACAGCTGAAGTTTTGGGCCCTTAACAGGTAAAGTTTGGGGCCCTACCTTCCCGTTGGTGGCAGCATCCTTGCCGTTCTCCTTCTCCTCTGCCAACTTCTTCTCCTTCAGGTCCTGCAGCAGAAGCAGCATTAGCGTTAGCGTAGCGGTTAGCGCTGCCCTTCTACCCACTGGCCTACTTACAGCTGCACATTGTTCAGTTAGCCAGCAGATCCTCTGCAGATCCTCCCCTGCCTCCTCCCCCTCCATCCGCTCTAATGTGTTGTAATCTGATACTTTGATGTGGCCCAGGGGAACTCTGGGTATTGTAGTCCTCAGCCCGCTGCCATTGCTGCCATGTCACGAGACACGCCCGGGAGAAGCACTGCGATACCCAGGATGCATTGCTCGATTTAAAATAACACAGGAGGGCGCAGGAGGAGGAGGAGGTGATGAAGAGGAGGCGGAGGAGAGCGACGCACGCTGCTGCTGCTGGCCGCTTGTTGTAACGGAGGACAATAGAAAACGACACATGGCAAAGGCTGCGGGTCCGAACGGAACCGAAACGCGCCGTTAAACCGCGTCCACACAAACACTTTCACCGGAAACACGCTCCTCCCCCCGCGCGCCCCGCAACACGCGCGCCCACGCACATACAGTTATTGATTAATTGCTTAATATAATCTCATTGGTTGGAATCCATTAAGCTGTTTAGAAGCGCCGAAGAGCGCGTGCTGCGCGCTACGCGTAAAAGGACGTGTGTGCGTAAAAATGCTCCAGAACTAAAAATAGAGGCAGCAGGCGCCCCCCGGATTAAAACGCCTAATTCCGGCCCGAACTTTCCCCTTTCTGCCTCCCTCCGGATGTTCATTCATTACCAGCCGGAGCCGCGCTGCCGTTTGCCCGCCGCGCCGCCGCCGCGGAAACACGGTACGCACCTCCGCCCCGACCAGAACCGGTCAAAGTTTCACCAAACCAGAACCAAAGTCCGGCTGAAGCCAAAACAAGTGGGCTCACAGCCGGAACGGCGGAGGGAGAACCACAAAGGGGAAAACCAGCGCCGTCACATCACACCTCCACGGCGCGCCCGCGCACACGCACGCAGGCGCACACAATGAAGAAGGTTACAAAATGAGACAGAAAAAGTTTCCCCCCGGAGATACAATCGAAACACGCTGCAAGAGGAAAAAACGCTGAAGAAGAGGCGGAAGCCGCGCGGCTCCCATGCGGCGACCCGAACCAGTCCGTAAACAAACCGGGTCGGACTGCGGCGGCCGGCAGGTGCCTGTTGGGTCACACACAGAACCAGAGATGGACCGACAAGAACCAACAAGCCGGAGGAGGTGAAAGTTGACAGCGTGAATTCCTGCCGCTCCGCGCTCCATTCAAACGCTTCAACTTCACTCCACATCCGAACCGGAGCGCCGCCGGAGCCCCCGCTCCGCCGACACACACATCCGGGAGGAGATTGGACCCCCCAGAAAGTCCAAACCTGATTCTCCTCTGAATGTAAATCACTTCCAGCATCTCTCCGGACGCGAAGGAGGGAAAAAATGTGAGATTCGGCGCCTCAATGGTGATAAGAGTAGCGGAAAAACGCGATAAGTGCGTGTTGGAGAGCGCGCCGTGCGTAACGCACCGGTTCGGGCTGGACGGCAGAACCGAGCCGCTTGTATAACAAAGAACCCCGCGCAGACTCTTCCTCTCCGGACAATGAGACGCGGCGCTGGAGGCGCAGACCTCCATGATGCGGAGCTCCGACTCCCAGCTTTATTCTAGGGGTCCATTTACTGGCCTCTGTCTCTCTCCCCATCAGTACCGGGATCACCGGCTGGTTCGGTCCGGTTACTGGATCACTGGTTCCTATGGTCCTTTGGGCTCGAATGAGCGCGAGAAAGGTTTGGTGAAAATCTAGGTTACAGCCTGGAGACGCGTAAAGCTGGAGAGGGGCTCAGGGAGGAAGGGGAAGGTGAGCGGCGGCTTACCTTGGCAGAGATATCCGAGCCAGAGTCCACCTGCGTGTCCGCCATTGTTTTAGTTCAATAAAATAAAGGACGGCTGAAAGGAAAGCTGGAATAAAGTAAATCCCCTCTGCTCGGCTGCGGATCTAGCTGGATTAGATTGTGCCAGTGGCCGACGGTGCTCACGGCCGAGCCTTTAATATAGGCTTATGGGCGGGGCCTCGCGGAGGTCGCCGGCCGCTGATTGGCTGCTGGCCGCACAGAGGTGTTTTCTTCGCGCGCCGGAGTGGAACAATGGGTAGAATTTCTATCTGCTTAGGCCACGCCCCCTTCTGTTCTCCCCATGCAACCGTCCCTATTCCGCTAAAAACAAATAATCCGAACCGATTAAAGGCAGCGGAACGGACCGCACAGAGCCGGTCCGACACCGTGGAGGCCAGAAAACCGGGTCCGAACCGAGCTGCGCAGTGAATTTATCGAATAAACGAGCGCTCCGTTTGACGTGGTGTCAGTTTGATTGATTGATGGCCGGCTGGGGGAATCAGGAGGCGAACCCGGACCGGTTCTCCCGCCCACCACCGCGGAGAGGGATTACAAGCGCTTAAATGGGGAAAGCTGTTAGAAAACAGTCGGTTTTGGTGGATAACAGTGTTTTTTCTGCTCTGCTGGGAGAGTTTGAGGGAGAAAAGCAGTTTAATGGAGGCAGTGGTCGGCCCAGCTCGGCTGCTCGCCCCTCCCCCTTCATAACGTCCATTTTTGAAACTCCCTCTCAGCTCTGAATGTGCGCACTTCACACTCTACACGTTTTTTTCACACACACTTCACTCAAAACCCGTGCGGGAAGGTAGCCCCACGCACAAACACGCACTATCCGTCGAGTAAACGCACTAGAGCGCAGTTTTAACGTGTAGTTTGGTGTGAACAAGCTGCTGGCCTCATTTCCTCCATTGTTGGAGCCCACAGAGAAAAGCCCCGCCGAGGAGGAGGAGGGACCAGAAGTGGAAAAAACCAAAAAACAGTGCGACATAACAAAAACATGCGATGACAAGAGTGCGGGAAACAGAAAATCATCGTAATAATTATGTGCTCATGAGGCGCAATCCTCTGTTTTCTTACCCACTTTATGAACTCATGTCTGTTACAGGCTGACTGAGAGCGGGACAAAGCGGCACTCAGAAAAAAGCAGCCGCCATTACTCCTTGTTGCTGTGGGGGGATGGGAGCAGAGCAGCGCGTGCCCACATTCACATTCTGCTCTGGTGACGCACTCCGACACAGCGCCGCTCTGATTGGTCGATGGAGTGAAATGAACAAGGCTTAGGCGGACAGCGGCCGCTGATTGGCTCCCGTGGCCGTCCGTCAGTTTAAACCGGTGTGAGTTGGTTGTTTGTAAGCCGCGGCTCCGGATCGCGGATCTGGAGTCGGTGTAGAGTTTCTCCCCAGTCTGTGGCCATGTTATGTTTTCTGATTACTGCCGAGTAAAATCGCTTCTTTTTCACTCTGGTTCCTAATAATCTCTGAGATAAACATGAGTTGTTCGGAACAGCCCGGGCGAACAGAACCTTGCCTGTTCCCCGTTGCTGTTGCTGTCATGAAATATTAATGTGGTTATCAGAGAGAACAGATGGAGAAAGTGATCCTTCAGCAGAACCAAATCTTTTCCTCTGACCGTGTTTTACTGACAAAATTCAGCTATTTCCACCAAACAGCTTCAATTCACCTTGAATTTTCTGTAGTCCTTTAAAACTGACTAAAATTCAGAAAAAATAATTTCAAAATCCCACAAAAGTTTTTACTTCCCAAAGCTGCTGTACTGAGCTGCATGTGTTTTATACTCTGAAGATTTTAGTGTAAAGAAGTCAGGCACAGTGTGGGAAATGATGCATAACTTTCCTCACATGAGATAAACAGAAATATCATATTTCCTTCACGGTTTCTACTTTCACGGTTTCACTGTTTGAGCTTTAAATGATGTCATATTTTACAGCTCAAACATTGTTTTATTTCATTTTTGCTACTGAGTCTCCTTAAAATATTTTACACTTCCTTTATATATTGGAATAATAAAATTAGCACAGACCATTTTCACTTTCTGTGGAGTTTTTGATCAATAAATAATTACTTTAAATAAAGATTCAGCCCAGTTACTGATTATTTACCACCAAATAAGGCTCTTCTCACCCAAACATCATCGTTCAGTGTTGATTTCTGACTCCCAAAGCATCACTGCCTCATTACTGAAGCCACACGTTAAATGCAAATATCATATTTTCCTAGAGCGGTCTGTGTGGCCGTGGTTCCTAAAACAAACCTGATAACTGAAAATTCAACCTACAGAAACAGAGGAACAGAAAAACTCTTCAGCTTTAAAAAATCATAAAATGAGTTTTAAGATCCATTTGTATTGTGCTTCTACATAAAGGCAGCAGAAATAGGTTATATTCGCCCAAATGCTAACCTGATCTGTAATGCATAACAGCATGGCTTATATGTTTGTCTTATGTTTTATTAGCAATATAATTGAACATGATGCTCAACCTCGTCATCCCTGCACACAGGAGTCTCCATGTGCTGCAATGTTGGATCAACATATTTATGCTCCTGTTGTAAAAGTGAAACACATGAAGTTTAACGGAGCTTTTTGTCGTTCCTCCAACTTTCTTCAGATCGTTCCGTCTTTACTGAGGGTCTGTATGTGTTTCAGTCGACTCCCTCTCAAGCTCTGGAGGACTTTGTTTGCAGCATTTCATACATGCAATTATTTTATCTATAAATGCCACAAATTCCTTCATTCTTCTCCTATTTCCTGTTGCTGCAGGAATTTGTTTATTGATCGCAGAATTTTTCTGCATTTGCAGGATTTTTATTTGCATTTGTTTAGTTAATTGTTGGTTTTTGCTTTTTGTTTTTGTGTTTTGGAGTTTGCATCATTCCTGTGTTTGCAGCTTGTTTGACACCAATCAGAAGTGTTTATTTATTGACGATAGTATCCATGTTTCTATTATTTTAATGCGAATTTCGAAATATTGCATTCAAACAGCTGAAGGACACAAAAAAGTTTCTCCACTTCCAAAAAGTTTTGAGCTGGTTTTCCGATTTTCTGCAATGGAATAAATGTGCTGGAGGGGAAATAGAAACACAAAATGTGTTTTTCTGCAGTTGATGTAGCAAAGACTCCCATCAACTGCTGGTCTGTGCCTTACCAGAGGCATGAAAGTCGAAAACATTTCTAAGCCCGTTCTTGTATTGTCACTGAGACTAGTGGTCCATGCTGTTTCTTAGTCTCTCTTATTCCAGCCATGCTTCTGATGAAATATCACATTCTGCGTAGCCTGAAGATTGAAAAACAAGTCATTCACATTTTCTTTTTTGCAACTTTTGAAAAGTTCTCTCAGATTTTACGTAACAATTTCATTGAAACACAGCTGAAAGGTGTCAGTAGACTTTTGCAAGTGATATTAGATAATAATACAGGAATCATTATCGAAACATGGCATAAATATCTAATAGATTCTGTTCTACAGCAGAAAACTCCAGGACTGTCTGACAAACAGACATAAAACCTGAAGATGAGGCTCATCGCAGTAGAATCAGTCCAGGTGTTCATAACCCAGGCAGCAGGTTTCAGCTCAGGGTTTCAGCTCAGGGTTTCAGCTCAGGGCTCCCTGATATGTGCTGGTTCATGAGTAACGAATCGTATCCACTAATCTTATCTGTCTCTGCAAAGCTCTGAAAATCAACCTCAAATCTTTGATTAACTCAACGTTTTCAACAAAAACAGTATTGGCTGAAATCAGAATTTTAAAAATTGGTCAGAAAATTGTAATTGATGCACTCCTAGTTTTTACGGCTTCTTGTTTCTGAAAACATCTAGTGAAGAAGGAAACTGGTGGTGGGCATTAATTATCTGTCATACAGGAGGTGGGGGGTTTACCAGATGATAGTTTTCCTCCTTGGGAGTGAGATGAGGTGGATCAGGAAGCTTCTTGGCTCCAGTCTGGAGGTTTTCCAGGACAGCCTGATTCAGACCACAGTGTCTGGGGACAGAAGCTGGATGCAGGTTCCTTCATCAGCTCCTCCCACTCCGGCTCAGATCAGTTCCTCCAGACCACACATGACTCAAACAGCAGTTGGATCCGTCTTTTTCCGGTTTTTCCTGCTCCGTCCCACTCAGCCTGATAGAACAGAGGTGGATGGAGATAGGAATAGAGCAGTGCAGCGGCATGTCTCGACCTGCTGGACAGGGATGGATGCTTCAGGAGCGGCAACTCCAGCTCAGCTGCTTTTACTGTTTTCACACCTGATAGTGCAGTGGACTCGGTTCGATTGGGAACCAAAATGGCAACATTTGTTCCATGTCCAGCTGCTGTGGTTCTCTTTCACACCGCACTGAGCCAAACGATCCGAACTCATTGAGCAACCTGTTCCTTTCCTCGCCTGTGGGGGCGCTGCACCAAGAAGCACTGAAGGAAACAACATGAACCACTCAGAAGAAGACACTGAACACAACTTCCTTCTTCACCTGATGGAAACAAAATTTGACTGGCATCAGATTTTAGCAGTAGGATTTTCTCCTGGTGTTCATTTAAGTTCACATCAACCGGACCGAGAGCAGCAGAACCCAGAGCAGCAGAACCCAGAGCAGCAGAACCCAAAGCAGCAGAACCCAGAGCAGCAGAACCCAGAGCAGCAGAACCCAGAGCAGCAGAACCCAAAGCAGCAGAACCCAGAGCAGCAGAACCCAGAGTAGCAGAACCCAGAGTAGCAGAACCCAGAGTAGCAGAACCCAGAGTAGCAGAACCCAGAGTAGCAGAACCCAAAGCAGCAGAACCCAGAGCAGCAGAACCCAGAGTAGCAGAACCCAGAGTAGCAGAACCCAAAGCAGCAGAACCCAGAGTAGCAGAACCCAGAGTAGCAGAACCCAAAGCAGCAGAACCCAGAGTAGCAGAACCCAGAGCAGCAGAGCTGTTGGACTGGAGGAAGTGCAGCTGTCTCCTCTGATGGAACTTCCTGTTATGGTGAACTTCCTCTGAATGAGCCGTTTGAACCCAAAGAGATTGACTCGGTGCTGTCTGTCCAGAACCGGTCCAATTCATTTGATCCACACTGAGTGGGTCGTTCAAGTCCAACACGCAGACTGGACACCAGCAGGACCGGTTGGATCCGATTGGATCCAGTCAGAACCTC